GGCAGAGATGGCCTCAGCCTTGCGCTAGAATTTTCCATGAATCCGCTGAGGTGAGCAGGTGAGTGGGACGCAAGGCAGTGTGACTGGCACCCTCCTAGCCCCACTTGCTCACCCTGTCCCAGCCCTATCCCACACTGGGAGGTCTGATCTGTTGGCCTCGGCTTTCAGCCTCGCCCCACCTGCTCAACCCAGAGGGTCTACGTGCATATGGGAAAGCATTCTGCCCTGGCTGCTTAAAAAGCGGGGCTAAGCAACTGGGTTCGGTGTGGCGGATTTCAGGAAGCCGGGATGCAGACGTCAGTTTTTCCCTTGGGGAGACAGGAAGTTGTCGCCAGGTTCCCAAAGCGGCGTTTACAGCCTGCTTGGTCAACACCCCACCTACAACACGCCCATTGGCGTGGGGGTCAGCCCAGCCCTTAAGCGATCAGGCCACGGCCCCCAGTCCGATAGGCTCTCCTCCCGCGTAGCCCCACCCATCTCCCCACCCGAGGCCCCGCCCTCTCCCCCTTCTCGGCCCAGCAGGCTCGGAAGAGGCGGTGTCGCTGACCATTGGAGTCTGGACTAATAAGCCGTTCGGACTACAAGTCCCAGCAGTCCCTGGAGCCCGCCCACGGGGGCGTGGCCATATCGAGCAGCGAATAGGAAAGAGTCCTGGCGCTCAGGCTAGGGAACGCGTGTGACCAATTGTCAGGCAGCTCGCGACGTGTTCCGATGGGGGCGGAGAGAAGGCCTCCCGGATCCGGACAAAAGCCGGATCCCAGGCGGCTGCAAGAGGCTGGCGGGCTCCGGTTAGTGGCTAGTGGGTCAGGGCCTGTGGAAGGAGCGCTGCTCACGGACTTTTGCAGAGAGGTGAGTGGAGGGCGGCTGCTTTCGCGGGAGGGCCCCCACCTAGTCCTGGAGCTTCCTGCCTCCCTCCCTCAACCCGGAACCGCCTCTCCAGATACCGGCTTGGTGTTCACGTGCCCTCCCTGCTTGGAAGTTTTGGGGGGGTCTTAGCTTTAAGGTTAGCTTTCGTTCGGGACCTCAGCCGGTGGTCGCGCGTCGACTACCCCCCAACTCTCCCATCTTCCGGTTTCTGGGAGTTTGCACAGGTCTTGCCGCCGACCTTCTCTTCCCTCCGCCGAATTGCATTTGCTCCATGCTGGCGCCTCACCCCCCTCCCGGGACCAGTTATCGAGCCTTCTCGGGCTTTATCTGGCCACCTCTTGTCTCCATCCGGTTTCCCCGCCGGATGCGGGGGACGGGAAGTAGAGTGAGCGGTGGCCCCTCGCCCTACCCCGGCCCCTCACAAGCCGGGCTCAGGCCCTTACTCTTAGTTCTGTGGAGAATCGACTGAGCCCCGCGCCTAAGTGGAGGGAGTGAGCCGAGCGCACCGTCGCGGCGGGCCACGAGGTGCCGGGCTGCCCCAGGGTGCCCGAGGCCTGGCCTCGCCTGGAGGACCTGGTCATAGAGTGGCAGCGCAGGCGACCCTCCTCACTCTGAGGTGCCGTGGGGCCCAGCCTCTAAGCGACAGATGGCCGGGGTGCCTGTCTCCCTCCCCACCTCTGGCGCTGACACTGAGCTTGGCGAAGGCAAGGTCCTCAAGGGGACGGAGGATGCTGCCGCCTCCCCCCTTTTGGGCCTGGCAGAGGGCCAGTCCCAGCGTCTGCTGCCCTCTCCAACCTTGGCAGATGCGATGCAGTTACAAGGAGTTCTGCCATTAGGTGGTCCCTGGCAGTCTGCCTGGGAAGAGGATTTTGGAGAGGATGGTGGGGAGCAGTGTATAGCACGGTAACTTTGCTCTGGGTTTCAGCCAGCTCAGTTTTTGGGATTTCTGAAATGTTGTTGGGTGACAGACAGCTGGTAGACCCCAGCTGCCCAGATGGGTAATTTTCACCTCTTACAGAGCTTTTTAAACAGCTTGGGAGACCTCCATGGGAAGATTCCCTCCGATATTGGGCAGTTGGTGTCTACACCGATTCTGACACTATGTAGGGGCACTCACAGATCTCTGCCCTCGCCTTTACTCCAGCGATTGCCTGTTCCCTCAGAAAAGCCCAATCTTACGGGTGCTAACCTTAACATGAATAGTTTCTGTCCTTCCCAGAGAGAGACCCCAAGTAGCCTCCCCAGTGGTTCCTCTCTACTGACCTCATGTCCCAGGGGTACATTCCTGGGGAACAGGCTCCTTTCATTCAGCCTTCCCTGTGGGCTGCTTCTGCCCTCTGTGGCTGCTGTAGGTGAATTCAGTCCTGTGTCACTTAACCCTGTCTGCAGACAAGACCCCATTCAGCTCATAAGGTTCCTCCCTTCAGGTCTTCAAGGGGTGTGTGTGTGTGTGTGTGTGTGTGTTTCAAGATCTTTGGCATGATTTCCCCCAAATGGTTTACACATTTACCTGTTACTAGGTAACAGTTTCTTGGGCCCCAAAGCGGACCCCTGGGAGTCTTAGCTGTGCCCTGAAACTATCACCAGTTTGACAGCACATTCAGCTCCTGGGAATGCAGCCTAAGACTTTGGGGGTGTGCTCCCCAAACCCAGATTGGTATAAACTTTTAAGTCTTGTTGTCACTAGAGCAAATGTTCTTAACTGGTGGTCTGGGGGCCATCAGATCATAGTCGCAGGCCAGCACCTTGAAATGATACGCACAGTCGGGTATGTGCACGTTTTTCTGGGCTTTTTCTTCCGATGTGCAAAAGAATCAGCCCTCAAATAGGTTGAGAGCTGCTGCCCTAGAGAGACTGGAGGACCCCGCTGAATGATTAAACTTGCGACTTAGCTCTACCCAGTCCACCTCCTGGATTTGTGAGCCTACTTACCCTGCCTTGGTGAATATACAGAGGCCACACTCTTTTCCTGTTTTTAGTCTATCTTATAAATTCTGTCTCTGCCTTAAGAAGCCCTACCCCATCGAAACCAGAGTGCTCTGGTGACAAATCTGTTGTTTTGGTAAGCTGGCGAATGTTTTCTAGCCTGCGTCGTCCCCTTGTCGTGTCTTCTGTCCCATCCCCTTCTATGGAGCTCTTGGATCTGAGATTTGATCTGGGGCTCAAGAAAATGATGACAGAAGGTCCCTTTCCTAGCTCTGTCCTTGTCAGAATTGGTCTCTGTTTTGGGAGGTGCCAGGTTTGGGGGATTGTTCTGGGAGTGTGTCAGACTGCTCTCTGCTAGAGAGGCTTAGCTGAGAGGCATCTTGCCTCCTGGATTTTGTGATCACTTGTGCCAGATATATCTGAACTGCTGAGGGTGGTCAGAAGCTGCCCCCTCCTTTCTCTGCTTGATCTACCTTGGGTTGCATTCTGTTTGGGAGGGGCGTGGGGGCAGGTGTACCCATCTGACTTCAGGACCAGTTTTTCTGGTCTGAGTCAAGAAGGTTGGGAAATGGAGCTGGAGTGGGTGGGGGTGGAGGACTGTGGGGCAGTGGGGCTGATTGAAGCATCTCCTTCTGAAACTCATGTTGAGATGGAGCTGGAAGTCATTCCAGGGGGAGGCCAGGAAAGGGAACATCTCCTGTGAGCCCCTTCCCAGCTACTCCACTTTGGGCCAGACACCAGACTGAATGTACCCATTGTGCCCAGCTGGAGACTAACAGGGAGGCCGAGGGAGCCAGCGAAGCCAAGATTAGAACCTGAAGCCCCAGCCCAGTTGGGAGGGAGGTACAGAGTGACCCCTGGAACACTGGCCTTTCCTGAGCTGGGAAGGGAGACCAACCTTCCTGCGTGCATAAACCAGCCGGCTCCCTAACTCTGTCTTCCTTTATGTGCACTTGACCTTCCTCCCCTAGCAGATTCAGCAACTTCAGTTTTGGATCTTTATGGGAGACACAGCAGTGACTTCCTGATCTGGCCAAGCTTTTGGCATAATGGAGAGCCTCTCTCCAATTGGCTCCTGTAGCACTACCCATGGAATAATGGGTGTGTCGGGCTAAAGCAGTGAGGAGGGAAATGAAATTGTCACACAGATCCTCCTTTGAGGTGAGGGGAGTGTACAGCCTTATCCTTGGAGAAATACTCTTGATCTCTTGAGCTGAATGGGGCTTTCTGGGGACCAGGAGTAAGAGGGCTTGGGTTCAAGACTTGCTTCCCCTGCTACTTAGTTAGGCTTCTTGGGCAAGCTATCCTAACCTCTCTGAGCTTCTGTTCTTCATCTAATAAAGGGTTATGAATCTCGATGCACCTCACAGGGCTTACATAAGGTGGGTTTCTATATACATGTGACTGAGATTAGCTTCTGCCTCCTCTTCCAGCCCTGGCTCAGTTAGAAATGACCAGTATGGAGTGGTCCCCAGAGAGGCCTCTGTTTTGCTCTAAATTAGCAGTTGGGTGACTCAGTGGGGTGGGTGTGATGTATTGAAGGTCATCGATCCCCCGCCCTGTGTCTGCTCTGAACTCAGGGGTGGGAGTCTAGTAGCCTGGGAGAAATGAGCTTTGAGATGACACTTCATCTTTGCTCCCCGGGGGCTTCATCATGCCTGAGTCTAAGGAAACTTGCTGGCCTGGCCCTCAGCTTGGTGGTGTGTGTAAGTGTGCGAAGTGGGTGAGTCTGGGTGGGGGGAGACAAAACCTGTAGGAAGAGTAAGGCCAGCATTGCACAGTTTGGCTGTACTCCTCACGGGTAACAGACCAGAGGGTATGATTCAGTGTCTGTGTGCCCACCTTGGGTGGGACTAGCACTCGGGTTTCAGTCACATCACTGCTATTCCTGTTCTCCCCATCTAGCTGCCTTTTGTTGCAGGATGAATGTTGTCATGGGTGAGCTGGTTTTCCTAGAGGGAGTAGAGATAGGATTGAGGCCAAGAATCCTAGGGGAAATGCCACGTTTATTTTTCTCCACCATTTTCTGATTCTTCTGTGCTGTTGGAGATTCCATCCCTCCTGCTGGGGCAGCCATTTTTCTCCCATGTGGGAAGCATTGAGATCTGGTTTTATTGTCTGGGGACAGCTGGGCGTCCGTCTGTCCTGCTGGAGAAGATAGTGCTCCATTTCCTGCCTCTTCTGAACAGCTCCTCTTACCCTAACAGGTAGAGCAGATCCCTCTGCAGCCATGTCGGCCAAGGCGATTTCAGAGCAGACGGGCAAAGAACTCCTTTACAAGTACATCTGCACCACCTCGGCCATCCAGAACCGGTTTAAGTATGCCCGGGTCACCCCTGACACAGACTGGGCCCACCTGCTGCAGGACCACCCCTGGCTGCTCAGCCAGGTAAGTCCGCCCCATCCTGGACCCTTCATCCAGGCCCAGAGTCCGAGGAAGAGAAAGCAGTCCGTTTGTTGGAGAGGTCCGACTGGGTCACGAGATGGCAGACTGCCTGCATCAGTGGGTAGTGTGCAGTGGGCTGAGCACGGGTCTGTGTTTAGCTCCTCACATGTTGAGGTGCCCTGGCATGGCACACCAAACATGGGCTTGGACTGGACACACAAGTCCAAATGGCAGTTCTCTGTTTATTAACCATAACGATGGGCATAACACTCACCCTGTGAGTTGTAAGAATTAGCAGTAATGTCTGGAAAGCATTTAGTGTGCTGCCTGCCACTTGGTAGATGCTCAGTAAAAAGTAGGTATGTGCCCCCTCCATCCCCTACCAGATGGGGTATATCAGGAATGTGTCAGGGGCGTGAGGAAGTATGACAGTGTGCTTTGTGGAGAATGGCTGATGGCCTTGGGTAGGGGGCAACCTGGAGTAGAGGCTCCTTTTCAGATCCCTGCAGGGTCGCTGTTGGGATGGGTTGGGGAGCTTAGACTTTTTTGGCAGGGCCCAGAGAGCAGGACTCGGACCAGTGGTGGGGGTTTCAGGGGTGCACATTTCCTCCCACAGAGAGGCAACCCAACCACAAAGGGAGTTGCCTCCAGAGGTGGTGAATTACCTGGCACTAAAGAAGTATGAACAGTAGCTGGGGGCTGCTTGTTGGGCTTGTAGACAAGGTTCAAGTGCAGGAATGGGGTTGACCAGATGACCTCTAAGGCTGTTTTTGTCATTCCAAGGGTATGTCTCTCTGTTCTTCCTTTTGGAACACAGGCTGGTCCATGTCCTGAGGAGGTTATGGTTTAAAGAAGCTAAGATACCAGAGGGAGAGGGTAGGGAATCACTTATTCTTTCAGCCGGTATTTGGTGAGCACCTACTTTCTGCCAGGTCCCATCCTGGGCACAGATAGTTTTAGATTCCTGGTTGTCAAAAGAAAGACGTAGGCTGGGATTGGTGAGGGAAGCTCCTAGGAGGAGTTGACCCTGAAGGAGGGGGGGGATTGGTTTTGGGAACCCGGTGGATTGGAAGCTACCCATGCTGTCCTGTGCTCTGGGTCCCCAAACTGTCACCTCTTACTCTACCCTCTTTCTTTACTCTAAATACAAATCCCTCTCGTTGCAGAGCTTGGTGGTCAAGCCAGACCAGCTGATCAAACGGCGTGGAAAGCTGGGCCTAGTTGGGGTCAACCTCACTCTGGATGGCGTCAAGTCTTGGCTGAAGCCACGGCTGGGACAGGAAGCCATAGTGAGTCTGGGAATAGGGTCAGGGTGGGTGTGCTGCAGTAACTGAGGGAAGCAATGGGTTGTCTTCAGATGAGCAGCCCTGTGGCTCACCCCCCACAACTGGTCAGATTGCAGCCTGGGGAAGGCAGGCGTCCTGCAGAGCTAACTGAGGCAGCAGGGCCAGGCTGGGAGCTCATTCCCAGCTTCCCCCGTCAGGGAATGGCCAGCCGTGCTGCGTAAGTAACCCCAGGACAACTTGAGAGCCAGGCGGGAATGGGCTGTTTTCACGAACGGTGAATCTGAGGTGAGACTCTGGGACCCATTCTGGGAACTCCTTTTTTTTCAGGCTTCAGAAAGGGTATGGTACCTTTTCATGACGTGCAGACCCAAAGAGGGCGGGTAAAAAAGTTGAAGAAGGGAAATGCAGAATCTTTAGGCAGAGGTGTGATTGGGTCAAGAACCTAGGATGTGTCAGTTAAAACTACTGAAGAGTTCATCCCGTTCTTGGCTTCTGGCTTAGTGATTATCTCAACTCTAGATGAGAGAGCTAAAACCAAATATGGTTTAGGAAGGCTAAGAGATGCTCAGAAATAAAACTGCATTTCTTTTTCTTCTCATTCCCAAGGGGAACTGGAGAACTAAAGGGAGGGATAGGCTGAGGCTTGGTTTAGACTAGGGAGGATGTGCCGTCCACACCTGGCTTTGTCGCAACTGGGGTGACGGTGGACCAGGGGTGGGCTGTTGTCTTCCTTGGCTGCCCCAGAAGTAGGATAAAAGTAGTGGTAGAGCCAGTTTCCTTTCCTACTGGGCTTCCTGAAATTAGCTCTTCACATTAATTCCCAGTTTCTGGTCCTCGTGGGTAAAAAGGGACCCTTGAAGTTGTTCATGGGCCCGGGGACTGAAGGATCTTAACATTTGTACTTCCAGGCTTTGGGAGAGGACAGCAGAGTTGGGGGGGGGCTGAGCAGTGTCCCCAGGGAGGTCCTCAAGCTCTCTTCTCCTCAGCAGGCTGTTGGGAGGGGAGGTCGGGGACGTCTGAGCTGGCAGCAGCCTTAGCCCTGGCAGGAGCGGCTCATTACCTCTGATGGATAACTGTCTGGTCCCTGACTCAGCAATGACGCACAGGCAGGCGGGGGCTTCAGGCCGCGCCGGGATGAGGGCTGTCTGCCTGGGCTGCCACCAGGGATCCACTCAAACTGATTAGCTCTGCAGGCCTGTTGTCCTCAGCCATGAAAGTCTGTGTGGAAAGTTTTCCTGGACAAGCTCTTGCTCTCTTCTCACCCCA